TGGAAGGGGGCTTATAGATATTATGTAACGTGACATCTCCGATGCGCACTGCCTGCGAGAATTCTGTTGTGAGACTCGCACAGGAGGTTGTGACGGTGGCGTATTCTGGGGAGACGTACGTCGCCAAGCCATGACACGCGCTGGGCTTGAAGTCAACGAGGACGAAGCCGGGGATCTTTAGGCGCGCGTCCTGCGGGTTATCCGCTTTTGTTTCCTGCAGAAGCAGGACGTTTATCTTCATGGGGGCCAATATTTTCGACAAGACTTCTCCCTTGGCCCTAGATATGCCCTCTATGTTGAGTTGGCATATTTTTAGAGGAGGAGATGGACTCACTTGCAAAAGCAGGTGGTCCTGATAAGGACCGTTTTGGGTGGTTGGCTGACTGGGAGGGTGACAAGCACCCTTCAGTCGTCTGGTTGATGGCATTGGTCGTCAACTAGGTGTGAAACACTCACTAGACATGCACCACACAGAGGAGACTTAACAGGGAGCGCCACGAGAAGGCTGCCATCTTGCCCCCCTTACTGGCCTAGAATCCTCTTCTTTGGGCGATTGAAATATATATTTCCAGAAGGCTCTTAGGGGATCAGGTTGAACTCCCGTCGACTCTGACGTCGATTTCTCCCAAGAGCCATCTAGACGTGTTTGGACACTTTTGGTAGAGCTGGTGTATGTACTTTTCAGGATTTCTCTTTATGGAAATGATATTTGCGGGAATGAGCAAAAGCTTCGCCTGAGTTTCAAGTTGCTTTATTATATTTATGTGGTCCATGTTTAAAATGATATGGTCTAGAAGGGATTCCCCCCCATTCTGTAGATCCTACTTTAGGAATTCTATGATTAAAGTTTTCCAACTTTCCATGTCTTGGTCTTTTTGGTTCCGTTACAGGGAGGGAACGGGGGGGGGGACCTCTTCCTCTATTATTTCTAGTTGGGGGAGGTTCTTTAGGGAAGAGAGGACTTCGGAATATCGGGGCTGTTTCCTATGACTTTTTAGAGTCAAAAGTTCTTCCGGGAAGGCAGTTTTGTTCACAGATGTATTTGTTTTACTCTTTGCATGTGTTTCTAGTCTTGCCAATATTAGGTCTTCTTCCTCATCCCACCGTATTTTACACTATGATGTATTCAGAGACGCGTATGTTTAGACTTCATGTGAAGGCTTCGGTCACTTTTAGTGGGGAAGTTCTTATCACATGCAGGATAAGAGAAAGTCTCATCCTCCAAAGTGGTATTACTTTTTGAAGGAAATGAGGAATTGGGAGGATGCTTAAAACGTTGATGATTTATGAGGGCTGATTTAGTTTGATTTTTCGTAAAAGCAACAGGTAAATCCCCCTGTAGCCGTAACAATAAGAGATGGAAGTGTCTGAGTTGTTGATCCTATGATGTTGCTCTGAGGAACGCACCTGACACGGACGAATTAGTGTTAGAACTAACAATGTAAACATTGCAAGTAGGCGCCTATACTTCTCACCTAATGAGCCCCCCCGCCGCAATGGGGCGTATAGAGAGCCATTTCCCGAAGGTCAGGGGAGTTGTAGTAATATATGTTTCTATGTCTGAGGCGGCCTGGAGCTGAGGGAAAGGACACTTCCAACTCACGAGACCAATCACCATACGTCTCCTAAGTCGGAACAAAGCAAAGGCATCCTCTTGACCCCACATCGGAAAATATAAATCCTCCCTACTCGGATCCAAACACACTTCTCGCGAAACGTCGATTCAAATGAGGGTGATTGATCCTCAAGGAGAAAGGAAGCATGCAGATCGAAAAAAAAAGAAAATTAATATAAAAGAGTATTACTAGCCCATGACAAGGCAATCAAAACCTATTTTTCGTGCTGTTTTCCGTAAAAATTGAGTCAACAGATAAAATAGTAAAATGTTGGTCTGACAGCAGTTCAAGGGAGATGATCCTTGTTGGAATTATAGTTGAATGCTATTGACTGACGTTGGTGATGGGTCACATTCACGAAACGAATTCCTTTCAACTTATGACCATTCCACGTCAAATAAAATTTGAATTCGACTGTCATGAGAAATTAGCGTTTTTAAGAGTCTCCAACATTCAACGGAAAATTGCGCGAAGAAGATATATTGACTCGTTCTGACATCTCTTGACTGAGTTAGGAAATACGGTTTCCAGAGCAATGACAAAGAGGTCGTAATTGCGGATAATCCTCGAAACATCAGAAGACGAAGGACGCGTTTGCCCAACTGCTCCCGACCGCGACACGTCAACGTCAGGAGAGAGAACTGACTGTGGCGGAACGGCTCCCTTTGCCGGCCTAGTCGGGCGCTACAAAAAAGCACCGGAAACTCGAGGGGGCTTTCTTCATCTGGAAATTCTTGGAAAGGAATTTGCGAATGTTGTCTAAAGATTTAGCATTCATATTCTCGGAACCTTTGCCAACAGCTCATCGATCGCTTTCGTGCAACTCAATGACTTGCTGACCTCCTTCTCGATAGGTTATTGCTTGTCCTGTCAGCCGTTCTTGTGACATGCTCGATCTTATCGCGAACACATACATGGGATGGCCCAGAGGTGGCGCTAGGATCGCTGGACCCCGATCAAATCGACCGCTCAATAATGGATTATTGAGAGGCGTCATAATTAGAATCAGGGGGAGCGCCCATGGGTCTAGTTCCTCGGTACGAGAATAATTATTAAGTTTGACCTAGGGTCCAAGCCAAATATCGTTCAACGATGGAAAAGGAAGCAAAAATCAATCTCTTACCTTTTGCGTAACGTGAAAACACGATCATCTGAGCTTAACAGTTCACTCTCGAGTGAACCTTGCCTTCGTGTGGTCGGTCGTATTCCCGTGTCCAGCCCCACCCCACGCGCCGCCGTCCAGGATTTTAATCCACAATAAATCTCTCGCGATAGCTGAAGCAGCCCTAGCAGCAATCCTTTGAACTCTCGACGCAGGAACTGCTCTCTCCCATTCTCGAAAACGTATCCGACAGTCGCGAAGGCTCTAATTTTACCAAAGTAAAATTCAACGGAGGTAGCCACATGTCTTGCTACAAGCCAGCCAATTTCTTTCAACATCTAAAATTAGTTTTTATAATATTAAGTCAAAAGTCAAACCATGACCTCTGCGCTCAAAACTAATTTTTAGCACTCATCAAATGTTAAGAAAGGGCTTGAAAATGGCCTTAAAATAAGCCCAAGAAGAGGTATTTTACTCAAATAGAGCAGAAGTTGACTGAAATGCTAAATCAGGGTACGGCCAGATTACATTTGATCCCAAATATTCATAACCTCATAATATGAGGTTATGGTTATCTCAAAGAAAGGAGCGTCGTGACAGACAGAACATGAAAAAGCCGAGCAGGACGAAAATTACTCAACAGCCCTCCTTCCTGGGATTTTGCACTAAGGAGCCAAGATTAAGACTTCCCCACCCCTGCTTAATTTTTGTCCGGACCGGAACCAGGAGAAAGGAACGGAATAGACGAGCCCTCCTGCCCACCACCCCCCTAGAGCCCCTGCAGCAGCCCTTCCTTCCGCCCACCGGAAGAGCAAAAAAAGAAGCTCAAGACTACATGAACAGCAGCCTATAAAATCAGTCACTTGACCCATCCTCAGTGTCAGGTTTTGTTTCTCCGCCACAACAACAACAATGGATACACTGCGGAACATCAGAGCGCTCACTCGGCAACTCCAAAGATATCGTAAGTCCCCAAGTTCATATTTCTTTAAACAATAAGATCATTCTCTCATTCGTTTGATTCGTCAACAAGGTAATCCCATGCATGTGCTGCATTAGCTTAATTCTTTGTTCAATCATCGGATTTTAAATGACATAACGCTTTCTAAAGTCGATGAGGAACTATATCTCTTGGAATAGTCTCTAGATTACTTTCAATCTCGCTTTAACCCCTTCAAATAATTTTCAAATAAGTCATTTCCCTTTTACCTTTCTTAACGATGCAGCTACCTGGAAGACCATCCTGATAACCCGGGAGACGAGATTTGCCGATTTTATGGCCTGTTACATATCCACTCAATTGGAAATGAGAGCGACAGCCATCACGGGACTTCTTCGTCGCCGGGAGAGGCGGGAGCCAGCAAGTGATTTCGCGACAGGCTCGGCGAGAGTCCTGTTCACAACAAAGGTCGCACCAGCCTCTCTACGTAAGACTCTCTCCTTCTTCACTTTTTCTCCAATTCAAAAGAAATAGCCATGATAGACAGATGCTGAAAACTAAAGAAATTTACACCCACCTGCCACCTGTAACGATTTTATTTTAAAATCGTTGTATTTATTTTGCAGCTCTCTCGGCGGCGGATGACGTCACATTCTTGTTTATCCCTTCAGAGGAGTATGTGACTTCGATCAGAGAAGTATTCGAGGGGAGAATCCGAGTCTGGCGATTTTCTTTTGATTGAGTATAAAATATATTGTTTCATATGCACAATGTTTTTCGTTTTATTTGGAAAGCGCCAGAAAACTCCGGATCGTTGGGCGATTATCATAGTTGCCCGAATGACCTACTCTGCTGTCTATGCAATTTCGATGCGACACGTTAATGATCATTGTTGAATCGATGGTTTCTGATTCTTTATTATATCTCTTGAAATTTTTATTTGCCTGAGCTATACAAATCAGCTTTGCTAGTAAGTGCTGGAAGCTGGGGGGGGGGACTTAATATGGAGGTCAAGGATTGCATTTAATGAATATCTTACACTCAGCTGAAGCATATTGCTCAACCTTGGTGGCATTGCATTTGTATGTGGCATATACCAGCTGAGTACCTTGCTAAGAGGGAAATCACACTTGAGAAAATACACTCTTATAATTACGGTTTTCATCCCTTAATATTTGCAGCACTTGTTTTACGTAGACTATATGATCTCTTTTGAAACAATTGCCCATCTTCAGCCAATATTTCCTCCCCTCCCTGCTCCCTTCCATCTCACCTGGGTGGCCCAAGATTGAAAGACCGACCTTGAAATGATCTGTGTCCTCTGCAGTGCAGCATCATACCTTATCTTGTTTTTTAGCCAAATGCTTTCCCCAGCTGTGGCAAATGTGAAGGATTTCGGGTGAAGCTGAGAAAAGCAAATGGAGACACACGGAAAAAGTTGGAATCGCTTCGAGATGCACACTTGAAGACAGCTGAGTAAGATAATGTACCATTTCATTTGAAATTTCTGTTCTCACCCATGAAACTGGCTACTAACTGCATACATTGTTCCTTTCAACAGAGTATAGCGATCCAATTATGCAGACCACAAAGTTATGACTCTCAGGAATGATGATTGGCTCACAATGGTGATTGATGGCATGGACCAGGCAGAGACCAACATCCCGCGATTTGCCAAGGAAGACAGACACACCACAGGCTTACCAAAGATCATCACTCACATCACTGGTGATTATCATCCTTTCTTAATTTCTTTAGTTGCTTTTGGAATGAAATTGGCTCAAACTAAACTTAATTCCAGGGCTTTTATTTCCCTGTAAAGATGGGGTATTGATTGAACTCTCATGAAATGCCCAAACTTCATGCATTAACTGCCATATGGAATTCTGGCATATCTTATGTTCTTATGTTTGAATAGACATGCTAGCAGTTAACATGATATATGATTTTATTGTTTTTGCTGCACAGGAGTCATGGTGTACACCGGCAAGGGTGTTCGTGAATTTGCCTTCTTACCAAAGATCATCACTCACATCACTGGTGATTATCATCCTTTCTTAATTTCTTTAGTTGCTTTTGGAATGAAATTGGCTCAAACTAAACTTCATTCCAGGGCTTTTATTTCCCTGTAAAGATGGTGTATTGATTGAACTCTCATGAAATGCCCAAACTTCATGCATTAACTGCCATATGGATTTCTGGCATATCGTATGTTTTGTTTGAATAGACTTGCTAGCAGTTAACATGATATATGATTTTATTGTTTTTGCTGCACAGTAGTGATGGTGTACATCGGCAAGGGTGTTCGTGAATTTGCCTTTGTAGACATTGGGCAGTTTCCACATGATTCAAATCTATGTGTGGAAGTCATTCTTCGATCACTCCTGCTTGTGAAGATGGACTTGAAGAATAAACTCTTCCTGCAGATGGACAACTGTGCCATCGAGAATAAGAACAATTTCATTTGTGCTCTCGCATATCTGGTGGAAACAGGCGTATTTGAAGAAGTTAGTAGAAGTCTTCCTTACTTCCCACCTGACTTCTTACCTGTAGCCACTAATGATGGCATTCCCTAAAGCCCTGATGCCTTTAAACTGTACTGAAAAAGAAAATAAAAGATTGGTGTCATAGTAATGCAAAATGGATGTTTACCTTTGAACATTTTTCTTTGGCCTCAGTTTTTATGAATCAGGATTCAATTAAGTCTGGATTTAGTGCAACTCT